CTCTGAGCTGCCCTCAAAGGCAGGGACCAGGATGAGGAGGGGACACCTTTGTCACCTGGAATGCTTTGTGTCCCTTTGGGAGTGCTCAGAGCTCCATCCTGTCCATTCTGTCACTGCCACAGAGCTCAGGTGAGCAGGGCAGGGGCTGCTGCTCAGCTCTGTGTCAGGAATGGCCCCGTGACCCCCTCTGAGCCACATTCAGCAGGTGGGATGGGAAGGGAGCAGCTTTGGGGCTATTGAGCATTTGGGGTGGAAGGGAGCAGCTTTGGGGTTGTTCAGCATTTGGGGTGGAAGGGAGCAGCTTTGGGGCTATTGAGCATTTGGGGTGGAAGGGAGCAGCTCTGGGGTTGTTCAGCATTTGGGGTGGAAGGGAGCAGCTCTGGGGTTGTTCAGGAGCATTTGGGGTGGAAGGGAGCAGCTCTGGGGTTGTTCAGGAGCATTTGGGGTGGAAGGGAGCAGCTCTGGGGTTGTTCAGGAGCACTCTTCCCTGCTCAGAGCTGCTCCCAGAGCTGCCCTCCCCGGTGCTCCGGCTGTGCCCAGCTCTGCCAGCAGCTCTGGCCCAGGGAATTCCCTGTTTGAGGAGCAGGCTGGGCACTCTGCCATGGGCAGGGAGTCATCAGGGCCACCTGGGAATGCAGGGCCCGGGGCTGTGTGCTGTGGCCTGGGCAGGGGTCACAGCTCAGCCACCAGAGGTGACTGGGACCCCACTCAAGCCACGTTTCTTGCCTGGCCCAGCCTGGAGGGACAGGACAGGGGAATGGCTCCCAGGGCCAGAGGGCAGGGATGGATGGATGGGATGCTGGGAATTGGGAATTGTTCCCTTTGAGACCCTGGCACAGGGTGCTCAGAGCAGCTGTGGCTGCCCCTGGATCCCTGGCAGTGCCCAAGGCCAGGCTGGACAGGGCTGGGAGCACCTGGGGCAGGGGAAGGTGTCCCTGCCATGGCAGGGTTGGTATGGATGATTTTTAAGGTCCCTTCCAACCCAAACCATTCTGGGATTCTATAGCAAAGGAACAGATTCTGGCACTATAATCCCTGCACTGTGGGAATCCTGTCCCTGGAAAGCACCTGGGATGGAGTTGTGTCTCCATTGATTCCTAAAGTGTGTCAGGTTGAGTTTCAAACCTTTTTTTTTTCTTCTTTTACAAGCAGTGTTTGCCTGGTAAATAATGAGAATTGTGTTCAATCACTCCACAAAAAATAAAAGGAAAATCCACACAGCCTTTCCTCCTTTTCAAAGCCCACGTGGAGCACAGGGCTCTTCTTAAGCCTGAGGTCTAAAAGGAGCACCAGGTTCAGATTATATTTAAAAACTGCAGCATAATAATGTGCAAATATCAGGTATCTCTAAGGTGGAACTAATTGTTTATTTTTTGGTTGACTTAAGTCTCAATTCATAGAACAAACACAACTCAAAACCAGCAATTAAAAATTAATATTCCCTTTCCTGCTGATTGATGTGGGAGCTGGGATTAGAGGTCATGTAATTATCTCATCCTTATCAGGTAGAAAGAGTTTCAGTTTATTGAACTTTCTCTTTCTGTCTTCATTCTGTGCTTCCCATCAGACACTTTGGGAGTTTATTATCTCTTCACTCTTCCTCTGTGATGAAGAGACAGAATGAGAGACACAAAACCAGCGAGGAAAGGAAATGACTGGCAAACCACTAAAGGTCGCTCTGCAATCTTATAATTTCATTTCCTCCTCGAAGTTTACCTGGGACTCCCAAATATTTTTTTTTTTTGGCTGTAGCTGTGGCCCAATGTGAAGTAGGAACTGCAGCCACGTGTTGCAATCCTGTGGTATTGTGGTGGCAGGCAGTGTTTATAAGGCACCCCTTTCCTGTGCAGACTTTGGGAGCAGAACTTGCTTTCCTGCACATCACAGGGCCAAGCTCCAGCTGCAGCTCCAGCCAGAGGCTTCCCAGGCCACGGTGAGAACTCATTTCTTCTTTAATGCCAATTGAAAATTATTTATTTGACAGTGGATTGAAGTAGTCTTGGGGGCATTTTCCTCAGGGCAGTGTTTATACCTTGATAAAGTTCAGCACGTGATGTACACATGTAAATACTGCTGGGGCTGCACCCTGTGTCACCAGGCAATGACAATCCTCCTGTTGGACCAGGGTTGGTGCTTCTGGGCTGGGAGTGTTGCCAAACTCCTTTATATGGCTGTTCTGCTCCATTGGCTCCTGCCTGAGCTGGGGCTGGCCCAGGTGAGGTCCAGAGGTCCTTCCTGGCAGGAATAATTTCTGGATTCTCAGTGAAGGAACCTGGGCTCAGCCCAGCCCTCGAGCTCCAGAGGGGACACCAAGGACCCTGAGCTCAGGTGAGACCCCACCTGCAGAGCCTCCTGCCTGGGGTCTCCAACAGCAGCAGGACCTGGAGCTGCTCCAGGGCTGGAGCCAGGCTGGGAGAGCTGGGGGGCTCCCCTGGAGAGGAGAAGGCTCTGGGGGGCTCTCCTGGAGAGGAGAAGGATCCAGGGAGAGCTCAGAGCCCCTGGCAGGGCCTGAAGGGGCTCCAGGAGAGCTGGAGAGGGACTGGGGACAAGGCATGGAGGGACAGGACACAGGGAATGGCTCCCACTGCCAGAGGGCAGCGCTGGCTGGGAGATTGGGAATCAGGAATTCCTGGCTGGGCTGGAATTCCCAGAGCAGCTGTGGCTGCCCCTGGATCCCTGGCAGTGCCAAGGCCAGGCTGGAGCACCTGGGACAGGGGGAGGTGTCCCTGCCATGGCAGGGGTGGCACTGGATGGGATTTGAGGTCCTTCCAACCCAAATTGTTCCATGATTGCAATTCCCTGATTCCCTGAACATTTGGAGCTGGAATATTCTCATTTCTGAAGTGCTCGGGCACTCACTGGTGTTGTTCAGAATGTGAGTTTGTTTCTGATCAAGTTTTCAATAAAATGTTGAGATGGGGAGGGCTGCTCTCCACATCCACAGTGTGAATCATTTCCATGCAAATTGTTGCCTGTTTTCATCAAAAACCTGAATCATGCAGCTTCTCCCTCAGAGCAGGAGAAACTTTTCTGTTTTGGAGGTTTTAGTTGTGATGAACAGAAAAGAAGGCACAAATCCCAGTGCTCTCCCCCAGTCTGAGCTGCTGTTCTGATGTTTTGAAGTTCAGTTTCAGGTTTATGAAGTGTGGTGATGAATTTCATGTTTCTGTGACAGAAACCAGACATTTTCAGAAAGTTGCCAAATGAATCTTTCTGTTGGAAATTCCAGCTAATCCTGCCTGAAATCTAAGAGTGTAATGAAGCAGTTATTAGCACTGCTAATAGGATAGGATATATTTTAGAGCTCTTTTCCAACCTAAGTTATTCTGTAATTTCTCTCCAATCATAACTGGGTTTTCCCTGAGCCTTGTGCCCCTGTCTGAGCACAACAGGAGCTGCTGCCTCTCCTGGACACTCTCCAGACACTTTGTTGTAGCTCCTGGTGCCATTAAGAGCTGGGTACAAATCCAGAGGGCACTGGATGATTTGTGACTGAGATTTGGGATGCTCAGAACAGCAGGAGCTGCACTAGGAACTGATCTGCTCAGGAACACACTCTGCCCTCAAGGAATCAGCAGGGTTACTCCTCTTTTGTTACAAAAGGAGTGGTTTGGGAGGAAAAAAATCAACTCAAACCACTTAATTTTGTGGTTTTCACCTGCATTCAACCTCCCACTGTAGTTAGAATAGGCTTTGAAAATGATATTCACCATCTCTTTCTTGAAGAGATTCTACTTCTGTTAATTTGGTTTGCTCTCCAGTTTGAAAAGGTCTGGAAGTTAATAAATAACTGTTATTAAATAACTGAAATAACTGTTTAATATTAGAGTTTTTATGCACCCAGTAGTTATGACAATATTTGGCAAAGGTGTTTGGTGTTTCATGGAGAGTTCTGGTGGTCTTTGGAACAAATTCAGGAGAAATATCCATTTATATATTGGACATGGAGCAGCAGTGATCTCCACTGCCAGCCCTTGCTGCAGACAGAGCTGGGGCACTGAGCCCAGAAGGAATTTTGCCTGAAATTGTTCACAAGCTCAGACTGTGAGAGCTCAGGGGGATACCAGAGCTAGGACTGGAGCTGGGACTAGAGCTAGGATGGAGCTGGGACTGGAGCTGGGAGTGGAGCTAGGACTAGAGCTGGGTCTGGAGCTAGGACTAGAGCCAGGACTGGAGCTGGGACTGGAGCTGGGACTGGAGCTGGGACTGGAGCTGGGACTGGAGCTGGGACTGGAGCTAGGACTGGAGCTAGGATTGGAGCTGGGTCTGGAGCTGGGACTGGAGCTAGGACTGGAGCTGGGTCTGGAGCTGGGACTGGAGCTGGAGCTGGCAGCTCTGCCCTGGGCACTGCCCTGCTGTCACTTGTGCAGAGCTGGGCACAGAACCCAGCAGAGCCCCTCAGCAGCTCCTTGGGGCTCTCCTCAACCCTTTTCCTTCATGGAAGTGCTGATGGGCTGAGCCAAACTGGGCTTTGGGTGGATGGAGGTGATGCCAGTGCTGCTCCAGGGCAGTGCCTTGGCACGGGGAATCCCTGGGGCTGGGAAAGAGCTTTGGGCTCACCCCGTGCCGTGCCTGTCCCCTGCCCAGAGCACCCAGTGCCACCTCCAGGGCTGGGGATCCAAACCTGCCTGGGCAGCCCCTGATCCTTCCATCCAGTGCCTTTTCCATGGAATTGGCCTCACTGGACCAAGCAGGGCTTTTCCTGCTCGAGGAACCTTTACCGCGGGACCAGCCCAGACCCGCTCCCACAATTCCCTCAGAGTGATTCCTTCTCTAAACTGCCTTGGGATCAGAATCCCAAGGGGATCAAAATCATGGCTCCAGCTCCAGCACAAACCTGGGATTTTACGGAATCCCAGAGTTCTCAGAATGGGAAGATGTTCCTCAGCTCACTGGGACTCATTTTGTGTCCCTGTCACCCTGCCCAGCCCCAGCCTGACTTTGGAGCACACTCAGCCAGCCTCAGTGAAGTTTAATAATGTTGGGTTTTTCCCCTCCAGATGTCTCCCCTCCTCTGTGCCTTACTGTCCCTGTTTTCCTTTGCTGCCCTACTGGAAAGTGCCCAGTGGAAACTGCAGGAAAATGGTAAGGAAGTCTCAACTTAGTCAGACCTAAACCTTTGGAATTATAATTGTGGCCACTAGCACAGGATTTGTAACTCCAGTGTCTTAGGCCAAGGCTAAATATTTATTTGTTTGACAATAATCAATTGGAGTTCATGGAAAAATATTTTAAAGTCCTAAAATATCTTCCAACAGCATATTTGCAATATTTGCATTAGCAGCTGTTTTATTTCCTATTCCTTCTGCTCGTGTTTAAAGTCTCAGTCACACAGCCTGGGTGCAAAAACTGTGACTAAGGGAACAGCCCTAAAAAACACAAGGGGAGAATAAATTATGAGAAAGAAAATATATTTCTGGGCAAAACCTATAAATAGTTTATCAGCTTCTCTGGTAAAGAACTTAAATGTAAATCCATTTGTGAAAATACAGAGTAGGTAATAAACAATTATTTTGGATAATTTATCAGAAAAATTTGGCTAAATTCAGATTGTCCTCTCTTTCAATGACTTACCTTTACATTAAAAAGAATATTATCCTGGGGGTTCCCTGGGAGGGCTTTGATGCTGGAAGCAACAGATCAGCTTGTCAACATTGAGAGTAAACTTTGAGTTTGAAGATTCTCCCACAGGAGTTTGGGAGACTCCCAGACTTCCCGGAGCTGAGTGTTTTCTGCCAGTTGAGATTCCATATTTGACAGGTTTCTCCTAGTTTCTCCTTGTGGAAAAGCCTCCCTGGGGCTCAGGCAGAGCTCCCTGCAGGCAGGGCTGCAGGAAGGGCTCAGCCCCAGCTCCTGGCCCTGAGGTTTCCTCTCTGTTCCCAGTGTTTGTCATCGACTCCCAGTGGGACGCCGAGGCCCCGGCCACCACGGTGGAGCTCAGCTGTGCCAGCCCCGAGGAGGCAGTTTACTGGAGAAAGGACTCCAGTCCTTTCCAGGAAGGAAAACAAAGAGGGAAGACTCTGAGAGTGGCAGTGAAGGAGCTCCCGGACGCCGGCAACTACAGCTGTGTGAGCGAGGAGAGCCACAGGGTGCTGAGCTCCATCCTCCTCCTCATGGCCAGGATCAGCCCCAGCGGCCACATGATGAGGGACATCCTCAGAGCCTTCGAGGGTACGGCCCCAAACGCTGGGATTGTCCTGCTCAGCTTGCTGCAGGCTCTGCCAGCAGCTGGGAATGGCCTTGCAAAGGTGTTCTCTGCAAAGGAAAATCATCCCTGCTGTGGCTCTGGGCATGCAGTGATGAGCAGCACAGGACTGAGGCCGTGGGGTTTGTTTGGGATTATCTAGGGTGATGGGGTGCAGGGATGGGAGGAATTCCTGGTTTGGAAAAGCAGGGCTACGTGACAGGAGCCAGGGAAGGGCTGGAGCTGGGCCAGGCAGGGTCAGGGTGGATTTTGGGAAAGGTTCTTCCCCCAGAGGGTGCTGGGCACTGCCCAGGCTCCCCAGGGATGGGCACAGCCTGAGGCTGCCAGAGCTCCAGGAGGGTTTGGGCAGAGCTCCAGGGATCCCAGGGTGGGATTTTGGAGCTGTGAGTCGGACTCCATGATCCTTGTGGGTCTCTTCCAGCTCAGGAGATTGCAGATTCTGGGATTTGGCAGAAGCAGGGCCTGGCCCAGGTTTGAAGCGCTGTCATTTGGGCTGCTCAGGAGACAAGCCTGGCATGTTTTGCATTTTCTGCATGAACCCCACTCACATTTGAGTCCCTCATGGTGCTGCCAGGGAATCTGTGAATTCAGGAATTGTTTCTCTCTGCCTTGGCCATTTTGGCAAACAAGAGTACATTACTCCTGGTTTCTGTCTTTCTCTGTCCAGAGCCCAACAGAACATTTCTGAAGTGTGAGGCAAAGAACTACTCTGGAATTTTCACATGTTCCTGGATGACAGACTATAACCCAAATGTGAAGTTCACCATCAGAAGCCTGGAAGGGTAAGAGTCTGTATTTTCCTTCCCAGCCCCACAGAGCAGCCCTTGGTGTTACTCTGTAGGATTTTAGGCTGTTGGGGCACACAGATGGGGGGAGATCTCTCTTCCAAGTCTGAGCATCCCCAAAATATTTCGAGTCATTACTGGGACAAAGTTAACTTAATAAGGGCATGGAAATCACTCAGGAATTAATAAAGCCTTGAGAAAGGAATGAGTCCAAGTGGGCTGGAGTAGCCACTGGGTAACTTAAGCAATAGCAGAACAGTCAGTGGAGGGCAGAGAGGAAGTGGAGCCAAGCCAGAAAGAACCACAGCTCCCAGTGCAGGGTGGAGTGGGAGGCTGCCCCCACTGCAGAGCACATGGCCCTGCCAAGGCTGGGCTGAGGAACCCTGCAGAAACCTGTGCTGGGAACCCTGGGGGGATTTCCTGCCTCCCACTGCCCCAGGGGTTCTCCAAAACATGGAGTGCTCCAGCAAAGGTCACCCCAGCCTGCTGGAGGAGAAACAGCTGCCCAGGGGTGCAGCTGGCTGAGAGCTGCACCAGGGCCAGGCTCAGGTGGAGCTCTGGCAGCTTTTGGTGTTTGTTTCCCAGTGGAGGCTTCTCAGCCCTCATTCCTTCAGCAGGGTTTGGGAGAGGGCAAAGGGACAAAGCAGGAAACTGGAGCTTGCCACGGGATGGTGGGATTGAGAGATCCTGGTTTAGGTTTAAATGTTAATTCCTCCTGCTGAGGCTGAGAATTGGCATTAATCCATCCCACAGCACTGGGAATGTGGCAGCTCCCACTGAGCCTTTTCTGCAGCAGACAAACTCCATGCAAACCAAACCATTTCCTCACCAAACACAGGCTGCTGTTGCTCTGGCAGCCCATTCCCAGGACAACCAGCATTCCCAGTGCCTCTCCCTGCTCTGTTCCAGCCCCCAGGGTGATGTGTCCTGCAGCAGCCCCGTGGCTGTCACCGAGGGGGCCCTGACCACCTACACAGCCCAGTGCCACAAGGAGAGCTTCTGTCCCTTTGCTGAGGAGCAGCAGCCCATCGACATCACCCTGGAGGCCATTGATGAGGTGTTGTATGAGAACTACAGCGCCAGCTTCTTCATCAGGGACATCAGTGAGTAGCCCAGCAGTGGGGGCTGATTCTGAGCTTTGTTTTGCTGCTGCCAGTGGGAGTCAGGGCTCAGCCCTGGGAATCCCTGCCCCGTGCTCTGTAAATGTCCACCAAGCCCCGGTTACAGGAACAGGGGGTGCCAGGACAGAAAGGGATGAGGAAGTGAAGCAGCAGCATCTTCCTGGCTTGTGACCTCCAGTGCCCCAACACCCACAGGTCCCTGAGTGTCCCCAAAGGATGGATGTGGTGGGGAGGGGACAAGGCAGGGAATAATCCAGCAGGCTCCTCTCTGAGAACTGCTCAGCCATTCCCAGATGGGCAGCCAGGGCAGGTTCCCAGAAAGGCACAGGTATGAGAGGGCCACAGGGCACAGGAAAATGAGGCAGCATCCTACAGAAACAGAGGTTTTCCTAAATGCATTAATGGTCAGCAGGTGCTGAAGATATTCCTGTGTGTCCAGCAGAGCGCTCTGCACCACTCCAGGCCAAAAAAAAGAAGGATCTTATCCAGACTGAGCCTAGGAATGTGCTTAGTTTTCCATGAAAAGCACCCAAGGCAGCTATCATACCTCAAGGCTACTCCTCTCTTAACCTGGAGCCTTCCCAAGCTCGTTCCCATAAAACTATCACCACTAACACCCCAACAGCTGATATTCAGTGTCAACATGAATTAATTCCCTCTGTGTTTTCTCTTTCAGTAAAGCCTGATCCCCCCCAGTGCCAGTACGTGGCCAGCAATGGAACAGTGACCTGGACATACCCCAGGACCTGGAGCACCCCAAACTCCTACTTCCCTTTGACTTTCAAGGTCAAAGTTAAAAGCACAAAGAGACACAGATACCAGGTAGAAACACAACATTTGACACACAATTTTCTTGCCTGGATAGTAGAAATAATTTAAGTTTTGTATGTAAGAATAATGAACTAAAATTTTAAAAATGCTGCTGAGCCCCAAAAGTGGCAAATTCTATCCTGGCAGAAAAAGCCTTTCCCAGGTCCATGAGCAGGAAGATCCCTGAGGCAGCTGAGGACAGAAAATCCTGTCCAGCATTGCATGGTTGTGTTTACTAATTCATTAGGAGGCTGTGCAGGGCCTCATGTGGGAAAATCCCAATTTCCAAACCCAGAACCCCAGGATCTGTGACACGAATTTCCTCCTGTGTTGTTCATCCCTGGGCAGCTCAGACTTTATAGGTGAATTGGAATTCAGAGGTCACTGACTCATCTGGAGAGTCTGGTCTTTGCCCCCCCGATTCCCAGTTAATTAATGGGGTTAATTAACTGTCTCAGGGTTAAATCTCCAATGTGTGCCCAAATTGCTCTTGGACACACAATGGCCTGCCTTGGAGAAGAGCTGGGAAAGCCACAGGGCAGCTGGCAGTGCCCCCAGTGCTGCCCTTCCTGTGCAGCACTGACAGGGCGGGCAGCAGGAGGGGTTATCCCGGGTTATCCCGGGTTATCCCGGCTTTCCGGGCTAAACCAAAGGCACCAGGGCGTGTTTCCCGCTGGGGATGGGATCCAGCCCGTCCAGCAGATGGGGCCGTTCCCCCGGGCTCAGCCCGGCTCCTGCCCGAGGGGCTGGGGATGCTCCTGAGCCAGCCAGCCCAGCCGGGCTGAGGGCAGCAGCTTCTGAGTTTGGGGGTCCTGCTCTGGGAGGAGAAGGAAAAAGAGAAAAACCCAGATTAACAAACGACCCCTTTGTTTAATGAGTGTTTAGGTTTGGGGTTTGAGTCATTCACAACATCCAGCTCAGGGGGTTTGGGGCATTCAGAACATCCAGATCAGGGGGTTTGGCATTTAGAACATCCAGATCAGAGGGTTTGGGGCATTTAGAACTCCAAGCTCAGGGGGTTTGGGTCATTCACAAGATCCAGCTCAGGGGGTTTGGGGCATTTAGAACTCCAGTCTCAGGGGGTTTGGGTCATTTAGAACACCCTCCTTAGTGGGTTTGGGTCATTCAGAACTCCAATATCAGGGGGTGTGGGTCATTCAGAACATCCAGCTCAGGGGCGTCTGGATCTCTTTGGGACACCCCCTTCAGTGGCTTTGGGTCATTTAGAGCACCAAGCTCAGTGGGTTTGGGTCATTCACACCCTCAGTGGGTGTGGATCACTTTGGACACCCCTTCAGTGGGTTTGGGTGATTCACCCCCTCAGTGGGTTTGGATCTCTTTGGGACACCCCTCTCAGTAGGTTAGGGTCACTTTGTGACACCCCCTCAGTGGGTTTGGGTCACTTTGGACACCTCTCAGTGGGTTTGGGTCACTTTGGACACCCCTCAGTGGGTTTGGGTCACTTTGGACACCCCTCAGTGGTACCTGAGCTTTTCAGCTCTTTCTGCTGAGCTCAGCTTCTCCCAAGCCCCAGGACTTTGGGACCCGTTGGAGCTTTTGGGACAGCAGGCTCTGGTGGGGGCTCAGTGACCCTTCCTGGTGCCTTGTGGTGGCCCTGTCCCCCTGTCCCGCTGAAGGAGCTGTCTGTCTGTCCCCAGGTGTACGACACGGAGGAGCAGTGGGTGCAGCTGCCAGCCCCCGGGCCAGCAGAGGTGTGGGTGCAGGCCAGGGACTGCTGCTACCTCAGCTCCTGGAGCCAGTGGTCCTCGCCCTGCAGGTAAGGATCCAGCCAGGCTGGGCTGCCACTCCTGCCTAGGGAGAACAGAGAGAATTCTGATGTAAATTGACATGGAAATGAAATTTCTGATGTTATTTCACAGATAACCAGTAAGGAGGGTGGCCCAGTGATCCTAGAGAAAGCAAAGAATGAATTAGCACAAGAACAGAAGCACAATGAGAAGAAAAGTTTCCATTGGAGATCCTTAAGAAGCCATAACTTATATTTTTTTTGAAACAGTTGAATGTGGTCCTGATTTTGGCAGCTCCTAAATCCCCCAGATTCAAGTTACACTTTTAGCATCCATCATGTTACATTAACGTGATTTTGACATGTTGCTGGCAGCTATTATTGTATGTCCTTATATTATTATTGTGCCTTTATTTATTTCCTATTTATTTATTTATTTGCTATTTATGTATTTGCTATTTATTTAATATTTATTTTATTTATTTCCTATTTATTTATTTATTTGCTATTTATGTATTTGCTATTTATTTAATATTTATTTTATTTATTTCCTATTTATTTATTTATTTATTTATTGACTTTGCGAGGCCAGTGGATGGCAGTTGCTGTTCAAACCACTGCATGTGTTAACTTACTTGGAAAGTCACCTCCTGAAAGAACTGTTTGAATATTCCATTGTTTAATTGCTTCATTATTTGCTTATTTAATATTTATTTGTGTTATTTCTGTGGGACTGTGCAAGCACAGAAAGCCCTGTCTGCCTGAGCAGCTGGGCTGGGGTCCCCAGGCCATCCCCACCCTCCAAGACATGGGGGTAAAGGAGGAATTGCAGGTGCAGAGCCCTGGGGATGTTTCCTGCTGCCCTGTGTCAGCTCTCTGTGCCCGCAGTGCTGATGCCCAGCTGGAGAACTCTCCATGAGGGATCCATGGAGCCCACTGGAGCACCGGTGTGAAGGCAGCTCTGAGCCTCCTGGCATCCCTGAGGAGCAGAAAGGAGCCAGGAGCTGCATTTCTCACCTCCCCAACAGCCTCCCCTCCTCCTGGGGCCTTTCTGATCCCGCTGTGCCCGGGGCATCTCCTGCTGTGGAATTGCACAGGAGCCAGGAACCCCCAGGGCAGCTGGACCTGCACCCCCTGCCTGGAATGTTAGTGAATGTTAGTGATCTCACAAAATCAGACTTTTAGAGCAGAGATTTTTGTAGCCCACGTTGCCGGCGTGCCCCACAGTGTGCTGGTGTGTCCTGAACCTCAGGGAAAACTCCTCCTGGCACAGCCAGGGCTCAGCTCGGGGAGGAAGCAGCAGCAGGAGTTGGGACGTTTGTATTTTTCATGGAATCCTGGAACTGTTTGGGTTGGGAGGACCTTGAAGTTCATCTGTTCTTCCCACTGCCCCAGAGGGCTCAGAGCTCCATCCAGCCTGCCCTGGACACTGCCAGGGATGGATCCTTTGCCAAAACACTGAGCCCTGACTTCCAGGAGGACAAAATACTCCGAAATATCTTTGAGGATTCAGGCCTTACCCTCTGATACAGAATCACTGACATTAAAGTCTTTCTTTGATACCATGCTTCCTTTTCCCCAGTCTTAGCCATGGGTGGTAATTTAAGATATTCAGACATTGAAATGTGTGAAGTATCTGATATTTCAGAAAACTGCTGATAACTTATTTACAAGTCCTGTTGGTATTTATTAATATTAAGTTTACATGTCTTATTTTAGCTATAAAGGCAACTTATGTGCTTGTTTACAAAGGAGCTAATAATAAATACACCTGAAAACAAGAATTTTGGGGTTTTTTTGGTCTTTTAAGAATGGTTTGTGTCAGTATTCACTTTTGTACCAGAGGATCAGACACTATTTCTGTCTCAATGTCTGCAGGGCAAATGAATTATTACTAATTAATAATACCAAATTCCCAGCCTGTAAAAGTGCAGAGGATGGGCCAGCCAAGGGAGCAGGGTGTCACAGCAGGATCTGCTGAGCCCTGCCTGCAGGAGGGAGAGCTCTGGGCTTCTTTGTGCTCTCCAGCTCTGAGTTGAACCCAGCTGCCCCAGGTTTGAGGGCTCTGAGGTTCAGAGGTCACAGAACTTTCCTGACCCTCAGGGTTTAAACCTTGGCTGAATCCCTGAAACCTCTCCTGATCTTGGGCCCAGCCCAGCCTCCATTCCTGGAATATTCAGCTAAATTTTGTATCCTGACAAAGCCTAAATTGATCTTTGCCTTTCAGAATGTGCCTTTCTGTGCCACGATGCCAGAAAATGAGAGAGGCTCCAGGGGGAAGCCACTGGGTGAATTTACTCAGGAAAATAACAAAGCTCAGCTCAGAGCTGCCCCTTTCTCTGCAGGAATCAGCTCACTGGCAGGTGGCTGCTCCCTAAGCCATGAAGTTGGCTTTGATCCCCAATTGTCCATTCCCTGGGCCCTCCATGGATCCAGGTGCTTGTGAATGTCTCCTCTGGAATTGTCAGGCTCCCACCTCTGCCTAGATTGGATAAAAAGCAAAAAATATTCACTGTGGTGGCTCCACACACAGGTGATCACGTTCTAACATGCTCCATCCATCCAAGAACATAAATTAATGTGTCAGTCAGCCTCTGGGCTTCTCTTCCTTCTTTCCTCTCCTTTTGCACTGTAAATAATCTGGAAGCCTCTGGAAATGCCAAGTGCACAGCTCAGGCTGCACAATGTACAAAATTCCCCCCACACCCCCAAGAAAACCCCTTTAGATGGCAAAATCCAAGCTTCTGACATAAAATTTTAGATTTAATTTATTCCTGAGAGAGAAGAGTCATTGACTGGTCTAAACCCCAGATTTTTCTGCTGCCCTGCTCCTTTTCCCAGGCCCCACCATTCCCTGGGAAGGGGCAGCTCCCCCAGCTTTCCACTCATCCCCATCACTCAACCCCTGGCTTTGGGTTCTGCTACCACACCTCCCGAAATCTGCTCTGAGCAGAGCCTGACTAATTCCCCCCGGGCCTTTCTGTGGGTGCTGCTCGGCTTAAGGAATGCTGGCAGATAAAGACTCGGTGTCCTTAATGAGGCACTAATTGGTCGCTGTAGGAATTTGCTGTTCTCCAAGAGCTTCAGCCCCTGAGCTGGGCAGGCAGGCACCTGCTGAGAGCAGAAGGGGGACAAAGCTGATGTTCCATTAGGGGTTCTGGGGGAGAACACAGATTTCAGCTCCAAATGCTTCATATCCACCCCTCCTCCATGCTGAACCTTCCTCCCACTCCTCTTCTTCCTAAGTTGTAGCTTCTCTTGTAGACACGTTTTATTTTTAACAAAGGGAAAACCAATGCACATCCTCCAACCCTGTTGTGAACCATGAAAACACCTTGAGGCCTTTCTTGAAATGTCAGTTTGATTGACTTTGGTGTGACAGAAGGGCAAAGTCCAAACACCTGGAAGTTGCATCTTAAGGCGATTTCAGATCAGTGCTTTTCAAAGCCCATTCAGAGGAAGTGTTAAACCATTAATGCTTTGTTTTTGTGAAGAATCAGCTCAGAACCATCAATGGTTGATGCCCTGTGAAGGCTGAGCTAGAACAGAGACTAGACAGAGCTAAAGAATAAAGCAGGGATTTATTCAAAGGCCTCCATGGATGCACCTTGGGCAGCACAAGAGCCCAGCCAGGGCTGCACCCAAGATGAACCCAAATGGTCCCAAAATGGATAACCTCTCATGGGGTCTCTCCCTGGGATCAGCTCTGCTCCATGTGCACATTGCAGTTCAGTGTCCAATTCCAGCTCAGCCCCTGCACTCCCATCCTGCTTGTTTTTCTCTCTCCAGCCCACGGGGTTTGTGCTCTTGGGCTGAGATTTGGATCATTTGTCCTTGGTGCCCAGCTGGAGCAGGAATTGTTTTGTCTCCCTGCTCTGTGCACAGAGCTCACCATCCCCTGATGTGAACCCAGACCCACACACTAAAGCAGCACAGAATCTGAAAAATATAAAAGCCAAAACCTGAGGCATCAATCTTACACAGGAACCAAAGGATCCCCGAGCTGCCTGCAGGATACCAGAATCAATCCTGGCACTGTGTCCCAAAGAGATCAGGAGGGACAAGGAAAACAAAGATCAGCTCCAGCCTTTGCACATCCTGTTGGGTTTATTCTTAGTTTCTGAGACAACACACGAGACCTTCAGCAGGGCTCTGGCCTGGCCTGACACCCACAGTGCTGAAGGAAGGGCTCTGCTCTCCCACAGGGGTGGAAAACAGGGAACTCTTTGATGCCTTCAGAGGCTGCCTGGAGCAGAGCCTGGGCAGAGTTCAGGAATAAATAGGTTTTTATTAAAAACCCTTCACAGGGCACCCCGGGGGCAGTGCAGGAGCCCGGCCGTGGCTCCACCCCAGGTGGACTCCTGGCCACGAGTTCTCACTCTTTGATCAGTTTTGGTCCATTCCATAATGGGGTTCAGTGTCCAATTCCAGCTCCAGCTGATGCAGTCCCATCCTCCCAGACTGCTCTCCTCCATTCCCTGTTGGTGGCACTTTTTGGGCTGAAGCTGCAGCGGTGTCCTTGGTTCTGGGCTGGAAAAGGATTGTTCTGTGTGCCTGAGCTGTGAGGAGACCTGCTGACACTTGATGTGGAGTTCAGAGTTCTGTACCAGTGCAGTGCAGAGTCTGGGAAATATCAAAGCTCAAACTGAAGGCATCATCCCCTTTCCCAGGCAAACACCCAAAGGCTGTGGCACAGCCTGAACAAAGGCAGCCCTTGGTTCTCAAACCCTGCATTGAGCAAGACTTCAAAATCTGATGCTTTAATTGCACCTGGGCGGACAACCCTGAGCCACCCACCCTCGCTGGGCCTGGGGCTGAAAACAGCCCGGGATACCAGGGAGGGGAGGACCCTGTGACTGCAGCAGCCCCGGCTGGAGCCTCCCTCGCAGTGACAAAGTGGTTTTTCACCTTTTCCACGTGCTACTCGTCATCTCTGCGGATGCCCCACATGGGAGGCTCTCCACGGATGAGTGGGAGCAGGTTCCTGCTCTGGAATGCAGCCAGGGAACATCCTGCCATGCACTTAACTAATGACCTGCTGCAGCAGCATTTTTGGCATCCCAGTGGTGCTCCAACGAGGGCTCCAAATGAAAAGCAGTCTCAAATTTGGAATAAATAATAATTGGGAAAATTTTCTTACCCTCAGAAAAATGCACACTAATATTTTATCACGTGTAACAACATGGAATTGTTTTTTCTTCTTGAAAAGATCAACTTTGAAGGATAAGAATTTGGAAAAAAACAAGATATAATGGCAAAGGTATAAAATTACAGGAGTTCCACAAGTAAATTACAGGTATTCACGGGTTTGCTGATGAGGTCAAAATTGCACTCACAATTCTTCAATATAAACGATTTACCATATTCACCCTCAATTTCAGGATGAGCTCAGCAATTAATCCTCACTCACCCAGCTTTGGGAAGCAGCTGTCCCTACACACATCCCAACATTTGTTTTCCAATGAACTCTTTTTCCATTGCGGTGCTTCACCGCCCGTGTTTGCTTTGTCAAACATTTATTTACGAGGACAAAGACACCACAAGGTCCCTGAAAATGCCAGCCCCACCTGACATTCCCTGTGGGAATGGCAGAGCCAGTTTCCATTGGGATGGCCCACGGAGGTCACTGGGTGCCCCCGCCCTGCGTGGCCCCTTTAGGACAGACCCATTTTTGCTATCTCCAGGGATCTCTGTGGGTAACCTCTTTCCATGGTTGACTCCTCTTGTTGTGAAATTTGTTTTGCTCCCATCTCTAATTGGAATTTCTCTCCCTGCAATTTGCTCTGTTCCCTCTTCCTTTCACTCTGCAGCTCCAGGAGGGCTCTGGCTCCTGTTTCCTCTGTTTCCTTCCTCTCCAAATGGAGCCAACCCCTTCTCCCAAGTTTTCCTCTGTGTTTCACTCCCTCAGCACTGGGTGCTCCCTCACGGGCTCTGCTCCAGCATTCCAGTGCCTTTCCCTGCCAGGGAGCCCAGAACTGTCCCAGAGCAGCAGCTCCAGCCTCGCCAGGGACACCTTGGGAATTATGGACTGAAATTCAAGTGCAGGGCTGGAAAATCTCCCTGCATGAACGGAGCAGGATTTGTATTCCCTGAGAGGGATGGGATGGGATGGGATGGGATGGGATGGGATGGGATGGGATGGGATTGATAGGATTGATGGGATGGGGTGGGATGGGATGGGATGGATGGGATTGATGGGATGGGATGGGATTGATAGGATTGATGGGATGGGATGGGATGGGATGGGATTGATGGGATGGGATGGGATTAATAGGATTGATGGGATGGGATGGGATGGATGGGATGGATGCTGGGGCTGCATTCCAGCGGACACTGGGAGCACTGGGCTGGGCCCTTTCCTCATTCCAGGCTCAGGATCTGCCAGGCTGCAGTTTTAGGGTCAGGACACCTCTGGGAGCTGTGTGTGCTCCAAACCCTCCAGATCAGGAGGAGCTTCCGGCACAGTTTGGGTTTTGCTCCTGTTGCCTCATTGCTGAAAATTGTCCCTCAACCACGGACGTGTCCTCAATACTCCCCACGAGTTCCTGCATGCTCCTTGCCAGGATTTTCTCCAGAAAATCTCCCCAGGACACAAAGTCACCCACAGCCCCAAGCAGGGGGACCCAGAGCAAGCCCACCCTGCCTTTTGTCCTCAGCCTCACAGGAACAAATATCCAAATTAAGGAAAAAGAAAAAAATTAGAACAAAACCACTGAAGGGCATTCAAAAATAAAATTCCAAGCTTCCAGCTCCAATTGGATCTTTGCCCATCCTGGAATTCGGATTTGATGGCATTTATGTTTTTTGTCCTGTTAAGTGATGAGAAATTAAACATTGATTAATTACCTATACTCTTTAAGACAAAATTATTCATATCCCTCTTGGGATGAGTTAGAGGGGCCCAAGGCTGACCTGACCTATTGAAATCTTTTCTGCAGGAGCCTTCAGGCCCTTGTTTTACTGGAATGAGCACCTCTGGCCCCAATCCTGCACAGGGAGAAAGGCCTGGGCTACCCTGCAGTGAGGGAAGGTGATCACTGAAATACTGGCAATTGAGGTGGTGTGCAGGGATTTTTCTTGTTGAGATTTTTGCACGTTTAGATGGCAAATCACTAAGAGAAGGCAGCTCTGGATGGAGGGGTGGAAATCACGCTATCACCTCCACTCTCCACATCACTTTGGATTTATGAAAATTAAGCCTCAGATCTGAGTGTCCCATGGGGAGGACTCTGTCATAAAAGACAGAAATTGCTGCCTTTTGGTTAAGCCACCAACAAATGCAGGGTTTGTTTAAGGAATCCCTCCTGTTGTGGTGGAAATGGGGGACATGGGAGCAGAGGAATCTCTTTCCCTGGAAGGAAAAGGACCCCTGGGGATGCTCTGGGCTGGGTGTGAAGGGTTTCCAGCAGAACACAGATCTCCCAGAGCAGCTGAAGGGCTCAGTGCATGGCCACAAGCACTCAGCTCCAACCACAGCTCAGAAGCAGCTCCAAAACACCCCAAAGAATAAGAATGAAGCCCTTCTGGGATGAATATTTTGGCAAACACCCAGCCAGCATTACTCTTCCCTGAGTCCCCATGGCAATAACAGAGCAGCCAGCCCTGAGTCAGAGCCCGGCTGCTGGGGCTGGAACAGTTAATTAGGCTGGGCTTAGGCAGGACAATCCCTGCTCCATCAGCAGCCCTGCCGTGCCCAGGACACATCCCACTGACCCTGCCCTGGCACCACCTTCCCTAATTACTGCAGGCATTTCATCACCAGTGCTGCCTATAAATGGTGCCACAGGGCCGTGGGACACTGGGGACACTGCGGGGAGCTCAGCTGCTCTGGGACAGCCATGAAGGTCACCCTGGTGCTCCTGGGGCTGGCAGCTCTGTGCCTGGCACGTGAGTACCTCCCTGGCCTCCTGGGCTTCTCCTCCTGGAGGGTTCTCAGGTGGTTCCTGCATTGCCTGAAACTATAAATGGGATTTTCTGCTTAAAATCCTATTATTTAGCACCATAATAGTTTATTACCCAGCTGGGGCTGGGGTGGGTGGAAGCTGCTCCTTGCTGGGCGTAGCTCAGAGGTGTGTTCTGTGGCTCAAAAGAGCTGTGATGCCTCAGAACCACCTGGTTTTATCTATTTATTTTTAAATTTCCATCTGAGAAGGGAGCTGGGAGCTGGTGAGGTCCTGCCCCTGCCAAGCTGACCAAGCAGGGGGCAGCTGATGATGCTCAGGCCACATGAAACAGCTGGGAATTGCATCTTTTTAATCCTATTTTTCCAGGCTGCAGAGAGATTTGAGGGACATATTGCTTTAAAAAAGAGGGATCTGGGAGGAATTTCTTCAGCCTTTACTTGGCAATTTTGTTTTTACTAAAAACTTGCAGTAAAAATGCATTTTTAGAGAAAGATAAGTGCATTTAAAATAACTGAAAGACTCCACACCTCTGCAGGTAGTATAGAAGTTTTAAAGCATTATGAACATTAAAGAAGCAAAATAATGAAAATGTTAAATGCAAAATTATGAAACAAAAGAATCTTTTGAGTAGCTCTGAAGAGGTTGCTTTGAAATTTGTCTCAACCCCAAAATTTTTATGAAAAACAGCAGTTTAAATGAAATGTGATGAAATATTTCAGTGTTTCATTAGCTGCAGGAAAATAAATAAATATTCCTTCCATTAGAATTCCAGGAAATCTCTTCCTTGAACTTTCTGGTTTATCTTGTCTGCTTGAAAACTTCATGAATCAGCACTTTCTGAGCCACACCTTTTTTGCATTCACTCCGTTTGCAGAGCGGCTCCTAAAGTTTACCAGAGGAAAAAATCAGATGTGAGTGGTTGGGGGGAAGTGGAATAAATCGAATCCAATTCCAGAATAATGAAATCTCAGTCAACCTCTGGTGACAGAGATGGAAACCTGACCTGGAGCTTTATTTCTGCTCATTTTCTTTACACTGAACAACTGTATTTGATGTGAGGGTGTAAACAGGTTTATGAAGGGAAGTTTTTGTGCAAAGTTTAACCTTTGAAGATCAAAAAAAGCCAAATTTATTCCAAAAGACAATTGCTAGAGCTCTGCTCCAGAACAAATTTGGAAAGTTTAACCTTTAAATATAAAAAAAATCCAAATTTAATCAAAGAAACAAGTGCTAGAGCTCTGCTCCAGAGCACATTCCTGCTCCTTCTGCCCAGAAATCTCTCCCTGGTCCTGTTACCCCCTGGAAGCCCCAGGATGATGATTATGGGACAGCAGAGGCACAAATACATTCCTAAGGAAAGTAAGAAATGTGTCAGCAGCCTGGAGCCACGCCAGGGAGCTGATTACTTTGTGGGAGGTGTAATTAGCATTGTTTGGAAGGAGCTCCTTGAAGCCCCACCTGAGGACACGGCTCTGTCCCAGAGGAATGAGGTAAAAATAGGAGCCAGTCACCTTAAAATCCATATTGAAACAAGGGAAACACTTCCTAAGGCGGGATTAGGAGCCCAATTGTATTGTCATCGTTATTCACAGTCAATATTGTGTTTAACTCTCATTGTTGACATGAAACACAGATATAGAAGGGACATGTGGTTTGCTCACAGCCACACACAGCTCTTGGTAAACTCAGAATTAAACCCCAGCAGTTCATCCTGGACATTAAACACAAAATAACATGATGAACAGTAAATATAATATTGGCTGCTGGGCTCTCAGTGGTTTTGTGGTGAACAATGGCTCCATTCCCCCCTGCAGCAGAGGCTGTCCCAACAGGGGACAGAAGTTTCTAAGGTAAATAATGCACCAAACCCCACCTGCTCAGTGGGTTCTGACACCTCACTAATCACTGCACAGCTCTGTCAGTGCTGACAGTAAAGGAGGTAAAAGATTCAGGGCTGCTGAGTGAAATCATCCTGGTTTGCACTTGAGTGTTCATTAACTCTGGCTTTTCATTTTCTCTTTTGTGGTTCAGTTTCCACTGCAGATGCTGCCACGCAGAATGAGGTGAGTGATTTCCTTTTTTTTTTTTTTTCTGGATAAAAATATAGAATATGAAGTAAAAAGTTATAATAACATGAGGTCAGAAAATAAGCATAACTTTAATTGAATGCCTCCATTTAATTTATTGAGGTTTCAGTGAAAGTTCCTGAGTTTGGGATATGGGGTTTCCATAGAATTACCCTGACAACTTCCAGATGTTTTCACCTGTTTGACATTCTGGGCAAGAAATTGGGCAAGGACAAATTTTAACTCAGAAAAATCTAGATTAAAAATAAATAAATTTATTTGATGATGACCCTATAAGGCTTTTTTAATGACTTTTAGCTCCTAAATCAGGTACCTGTAGAGATTTTCATTCTCTCTGAGTACTCTGGGGTCAATGTCTGGAAAAATGAGGCACCAAGGAAAAAAAATCCTTTCTGGGGTGAGCAGGAAGGTCCTGGCAGAGTGGATAGTGGTGGGGAGAGGAAATTCATCCACACACAGAGCTGGACCTGTATTTGCAGAATATATCAGGAATTTCTCCATGGAAAGGGTGGTCAGGCATGGAAGGGCTGAGGTGGAGTCCATCCCTGAAGTGTCCAAGGAAGGGCTGGATGGGAATTGATCCCACCTGGATTTACTCATTGTTGTGATCAGATAATAAAAACCCCAACACTCCGCTCCTCTGGGGCTGTGTTGTTCCAGGACCCCATTCCTGCCCATCCCTGTCACAGGCAGCCCCACTCTCACCTCTGAGCAGAAATTTTTCATTTTTTGGGGCTTAGCCTCTGTCAATAGAGGTGGTGCCACCTCCCTGCTGTGCTGCCCCAAAGCATGCCCCAAAATTCAATATATTCATGATTTCTGTGCATGGAGGAGGTGGCACAGTAAAGCAGAGGGGGCTCATTTTCTTCATGCAGAAAAAGCCAGTTTTTATTCAGTTGGCTCATATTTACAGGAATTCTGCTCCTCTGGGGCTGTGTTGTTCCAGCCCTGTCACAGGCAGCCCCAGTCTCACCTCTGAGCAGAAATGTTTCATTTTTTGGGGCTTAGCCTCTGCCAATAGAGGTGGTGCCACCTCCCTGCTGTGCTGCCCCAAAGCATGCCCCAAAATTCAATATATTCATGATTTCTGTGCATGGAGGAGGTGGCACAGTAAAGCAGAGGGGGCTCATTTTCTTCATGCAGAAAAAGCCAATTTTTATTCAGTTGGCTCATATTTACAGGAATTCTAAAGGCACTGTGTTAAACCTGACTGGATAACAATACACTGTCAGTTCCTTGGTCAGTAAATGGAATTTTGTGCCTCCATCAAACCTCTTTATTCTTGGATTGTTTACACATCTTCTTCACTGATCCTCATTGCACCAATTTCTTGGTTTTGCAGGTGCAAACCTATTTTTCTCCCAAGAATAAACTATTGTGTTAACTGACTTTTCATTCTTACGACTTTCCTCACGGGAACAAGCAGTAGAGCTGCACCAGCAGGCCTAAGCCTGACATTATAAAGCCTTTTTTTTGGTGAGGTTTCCCCCTGTGTGGCCCAGAGGGTGTGAGACTCAGGGCTGTTCTCGTTGCAGGTGGATTGCAGCGAGTACAAGAGGCTGGAGAGGGGCAGGCCCATTTACTGTGAGAGGCTCTACCAACCCTACTGCGGCTCTGATGGCAAAACCTACAACAACAAATGCTCCTTCTGCAAGGCTGTGCTGTGAGTACTGAGCTGCCCACTCCCCTGGGAGCCAAAAGCTGCCATGGGCTCAGCAGCTGGGATTTCTACCCCGTAAAAGTGCTGGGTCTCTTTAGGGTTGGTGCTCCTCTGCTGCTGTGGTTTGCCTTTACACCATTATTGTTCCTCCCACTGATGATGTGCAAGTGAGCTAAAGAACAAATGATGGTGATGTTTGGGTGAGAACTTCCTGTTCTGGTAGGAAGTGTAAAATAGGCAACTAAAAATTAATGACCCAGATATTCAAGGTCTGAACTTCCTATTCTGGCAGGAATGGTGAAGTCGGACACTAAAAAATTACTAGGATATGCGTGTGAACAACTTCCTATTCCAGCAGGGATTGGGAAGTTAGACATTTAAAAACCACTTGGATATTTGTGTGAACAACTTCCTATTCCAGCAGGAAGCGTAAAATAGTGAACCAAAAACTGACCCAAATACTTGTGTGAGCAACTTGCACCAGGCACTGTGAAGTTGAACACTAAAAAATTATTCCAATTTGTGTGAGGAACCTGCTGCAGGTGCTGTAAGGTTTAGTCACTAAAAATACCCTGGTATTGGTGTGAGCAGCTTCCTATTCCAGCAGAAACTGTGAAGTTGGACAGGAAAGAGTCCAACGAGCAGCAGAGACCTGACAAAGCACCTGCACCCGATGCAGGTCACACAAAAATTCAGAAGTGGTGCTGGCAGTGTCTTGGGTTTATGGATAAAATGTATAATTCTGCAAGGAAAGCTGTTTACAGATGAGTGCCCTGATGTCTGCTGTGAACATTTACAGTGCCTCCTCTGTCAGCAAAGAGCTCCAGAGGATTTTGGTGCAGCATTCTGTGTGCAACGCCCGTGTTTTTCCTTGCAGGAAGAGCAGAGGGGCCCTGCAGATGAAGCAGGCAGGAGCGTGCTGAGGACAGCTCTGCCCGTGCCTGCCTTTCCTCCAGCCTGCCCTGAAGTGCCAGCTCTGCTCCAGAGCTGGGACTGCCACTCCTGTCCCCGCAGCACAACTGCTCCTGTTGCTGCACACCAGCCCTTCCTCGCATGTTTGTCTCCACGGCTGAAGTTCAAATCCTCTGACAGTGCCCCAAGTCTCTCCCCTTCGTTGATCAAATTTTGTTTTTTGTTCCTTTACCCAGAATCTTCAGCAGATATTTTTTTCCCCAAAGGTTTTCAGCTTTCCCAGGCACTGCTCTGAGTCTCCCAGTTTTGGGGCTGAATTTTAAGTGTTTGTTTTTCATCCCTCTCTGTACAATTCTGGTTTCTGTCTGTTGTTCAGCTACTCAATGTACTTGTTTATTAAAATAAACCTTCACTCTTTTTTTTTTGTCCATGGTGAACTTTCTAGAGAATTTATTGCATCCACGACTAACAAGTATTTCTCAAATTACAGAAAACTGTGGTGGAGCAGGGGCTGAGTCCAGAGGCAAAAATCTAAAGCTGGGATACAAAAGTTGTATCCCACTACATGGCCTTATGTACTGCAATTTGCCCCCCAATCTGGCTCTTTTTTTTTTTTTTTTTTTTTTTTTTCTTTAAATGAGACAAATCTGGTAAAATGTAAGACTGTAGAAGTTTGTTAAATCCTGTCATTTAAATGTGAACATTCATTAATCTTTTCACTTGACAAATTTCAGAACCTAAAGAAATTTATGTCCTGCTCTTACATCCTGATTATCTTCACTGTTAAACTAATTTGTCTTTTACTCAATACTTGGTCATGGGAATGTATTTTCCCAGAATTAAAATTGTGAATGGCTGCCCTTATTGGGCTGCCAGGAGGAAAATTTTGGAACAGCTGGACACAGGAGAAATCCAGCCCTATCCTGAATTCTGTTTATCTGGAAACCAGGTCCCAGCAATTAGGAGCAGGAATGAAAATGAGGAAGGTAATAGAAAAGTTCCTCCTAGCTCAGGGGCTTCAACCTAAAGAAGTTCCTAGAACAGATCACCTTGACTGAAAAAGATAAAAATGAGAAAACAAAGATCAGATTGAGAAAACAAAGGGAATCTCTGAGGTCTCCTCGTGATGTCAGAAAAACCTGATTTGTGGATATTTGCTGCCTTCCAGCCTCACGGATATTCCCACCCTCTGCTTTGGTTTGTTGGGATATTTCATGGGCTGTGCTTGTGCACCAAACTGAAATTATCCTGCAGCCCCAGGAGTGATTCAAGCAGCTGCAAGGCAGAGGTGTAAACCCCCCCCTGAATCTGCTGGCACTCCAGTGTGCCCCCGATCATTCCTGACAGGGAATCCCTGAGCCAGGAGCAGCAGGAAAGCAGGACCTGCCCAGCTGGGCGCCTTTCCTCGCTCACACCTGGCAGGGAGGCACAGCAGCTCCTGCCACATACCAGAGCACAGAACATCACCTGCAAACTGCTGCAAGGGACACCTGCAGAAAATGCTGCTGGAGTGGCTGGCCAGGCTGGCCAGTCGGGTCTGTGGGATGGAGCAGTGCCAGGGAAATGTGGGGAAGGGAAAATGAGCAGAGCCTGAGCGAGCTGATGGTCGGGTTCTGCAAGACAGAAAATGAAATACCGGTGTGGAATAGGGAACAGAACAGATCTTGCACTCAGGGAAGATCAGAGTGCAAAACTCTGCGCTGGAAAGGTACTTAAATACCTGCTGTGTCTTTATAGCTGATGCATTTACATGTGAGGGACAAGGAGGGGCTTTCCTCAGGTCCTACAAAACACTTTCTTTGTTGTAAGACAAGAGGTGATGAAATCTGGAAATCAGACAGTGGGATCCCTGCAAGAGCAAAGCCAGTGCTGGAATGAAGCTGGCTGGGGTTACCCTGGCACCATTCTCACCTGAGGGCTTTGGCTGCTCAGATCTTCTCTTAGAAGCTTTAATTTTGGAATGTTGAGGTTTTGCTCCCTGTTTGTTGTGTAATTAACGTCTCGTTTGGTGATCAGGAGTGTCCAAGGCCAGGCTGGATGGAGCTCTGGGACAGTGGCAGTGTCCCTGCCCAGGGCAGGGGTGGAGTGAGACCTCTGAGCTCCCTCCCAGCCCAAACCATTCCATGATTTACCATTGTTGGGATGGAGAACATTCATTCCTTCAGAGGAAAAAATCTTAAAAACATCTCCTAGGGCTGCTGCTAAGCACTGACAGCTTGTGGGGAACAAAATATTGGGTTTTTAAAGGAAGGCATTGATTCTCTCAGGTTTTTTTTTTATTTTTGATTCAGTAATACCTGTGCTGAGAACCAGGATTCTGAAACCCCCCCTAAAATCTAAACTGTGTATGTCCAAATAGCTTCCACCAGCAGTAAATGAGGAACAACAAAAGCAACGTGCTCTTTTGTTTTGCAGCTGGTCAAGACCAGAACAGAATTTTTATTGATGACTGTTCAGCATCTCTGATTGTTTTCCCTTGGGTTTCAGTTCAGATATCCTTGAGTGCTGCAAATTCTAAAATTTCCCACATATGGCAGTGGAGCGAGAAAGAAGTGGAGGAACCCCAAACCCTTCAAAGATCCACAAACCACTGACGTGTGGGATAAATCACAGGGTTTCTGTTCGGAACAAATGGGGTGGTTTTGGTTTCTGCTGTCTGTCTCGTAACCACTTCACCATTCACATTCTGTGACTGTTCCAATGACAGCTCAACCCCAAGGCCCTGCCCAAATTCCTTAATTCCATTTAGTGTCTCCTGTGTCCTTCAGGCCATCTCCTCTTGCTGCCACCCCTGTGTCCCCTGCCTTGGGCTGAGGGAGGGCAGGACAAGCTTTGCTGGACCTGGCTCTGCTCTTCCCACCCTCACTTGTCCCATTTTTGGGGCTGATTTTTCGGATGTTCTGCTGTTTTTAATGCTGTGTTGCTGTCACAGGTTGGACTCGGTGACTTCTGAGGCCTTTTCCAACCTCAGTGATGCTGTTGACACATCCAAAATTCACAGGGATTGCCAAGAATTTATTTTGTTATTCCTACTCTGCCACAGAGCATCGTGGATTCCTCTGGGATTGTCACTGACCCAGCAGCTGAGTCTTTGCATGCTGTCATTCACAAAAAATAACTCACCAGCAGTCTGCTGGGTGGTGAACGAGCCTTGTCACCCAATCCCTTGGGGCTTGCATGAAACATGACTTTAAAATGTTGAGGGAATTGTGATTTCTGCTGGGATCCACCCAAACACGGCGATTCAAACAAGGCTTAAGTGCAGACCTGCACAATGCTGCAAATACACGTGTGGGGCCAGGGTGAAGACTCTCCAGGGAAAATCACTTCTAAAGCTTGCAGAGAGCCTCCAAAGGAGGGGATGAGGGTGGGGAAGGGTCTGGAGGGGCCATGGAGGAGCAGCTGAGGGCACTGGGATTGTGCAGCTGGAGGAGGCTGAGGGGAGACTCCTCGGGCTCTGCAGCTCCTCCCGAGGGGCAGCTCGGATCTCTGGGACAGGGACAGGACACAGGAAGGGCTGGAGCTGTGCCAGGCTGGGTCAGGGTGGATTTTGGCAAAGGTTTTTCCCCTAGAAGGTGCTGGGCACTGCCCAGGCTCCTCAGGGATGGGCACAGCCTGAGGCTGCCAGAGCTCCAGGAGGGTTTGGACAGCGCTCCAGGGACCCCGGGTGGGATTTTGGGGGATCTGTGCAGGGCCAGGAGCCGGGCTGGATGATCCCGGAACCCTGCAATGCTTTGTGCTGGAAGGACAAGAACGCCCAACTCATCCCAGCCCGGCACGGGCACCTCGCGGAGCCGCGGCCGCTCGGGCTCCACCCGCGGCCTGCTCGGCTCGGCTCGGCACAGCCGGGACCGCAGCGTGTAGGGCTGACAGCCATCCCTGGGACTGCCGAGGACTGCTACTGACACCCATCCCTGGGACTGCCGAGGGCTGCTACTGACACCCATCCCTGGGACTGCCGAGGACTCCTATTGACTGCCATCCCTGGAGCTGCCGGGCGCTTTTATTGACACCCATCCCTTCAACGGCCGAGCGCTTCTACTGAATCCCATCCCTGGAAATGCCGAGCTTCTGAATCCCATCCCTGGAAATGCCGAGCTTCTGAATCCCATCCCTGGAACTGAGGGAGCGCCTCTCTTCACTCCCACCCCTGCAACTGCCGAGCGCTTCTATTGAATCCCCTCCCTGCAACTGTGTGAGGACTTCTTTCGAATCCCACTCCTGTAACTGCCGAGCACTTTTATTAACACCCATCCCTGCAAGTGCCGAGAACTTCTACTGAATCCCATCCCTGGAAATGCCGATCACTCCTATTGACTCCCATCCCTGGGACTGTGCGAGCACTTTTATTGACTCCCATCCCTGGAACTGCCGATCACTCCTATTGACACCCATCCCTGGGACTGCCGAGCGCTTTTATTGACACCCATCCCTGGAACTGCCGATCACTCCTATTGACACCCATACCTGGGACTGCCGAGCGCTTTTATTGACTGCCATCCCTGGGACTGCCGAGCGCTTTTATTGACTGCCATCCCTGTGGCTCAGCGCTGTGCGCCCCAGCTCCCCGGAGCCCTCAGCGCCCTCAGCGCGGCCCGGGCGGTGCCGTCCCCTCACGGCGGCGGGGCGGGCCCGGAAGCGCGGCCGGAAGCGGAAGCGTCGGCGCAGGAAGCGGCGGCGCTGGCGGAAGGGGCCGCGCAGGAAGCGGGGCCGGGGCTGCCCCGCGGCCACAACCGGGGCGAGGGCGGCGAGGGGAGCCAGGGCAGGTGAGGGCAGCGAGCGCCGGGGGAGCGCAGCGAGGGGCAGGGCGCGGGGACGCGGCCGGCTCGGCTCCCGGGGCGGCGGGGCGGGGAGGCGCCGCCGCCGCCGCCTCCCGGCGCCGCGGGCTCGGGCCGGCCCCGCTGTCACAGGCCCCGAGGCCCCCCGGTGACGGGGCTCTGTGGGAACCTGGTTTTCCTTGGCTTATCTCGGCACAAATCACGGCGTGCTGGCGTTTCCCCGCTCCGGGAGC